ACTCAGGTGACAAATATTTATAAATTATAATAATTTCATTTAAAATATTTTATTAAATTACTATAAATAGTAAAAAGATTGTGCAGTAAAAGAAAACAGTTTCATTTATTTTCATTTATTTATGATACATTTTTTTATTTTTGCGAGTTATTGTCTAAACGTTTACTTAAAAAAGATATATGTTTAATCTTTTTCAACCCAGCATAAAGACAAACAACTATTTTCATTTTCATTTTCGTACACGTTTACATAGCATTCTCATATCAGAAACATCCAGAGGCGACTCCCGTATGCATGCATATGTTTTATTTTATTTTATTTTTTTTCTTCCATTTAACAAATGAAAACATTAATTTTTGCATATTATAGGATATGTGGAAAATAATAAAAACATGTGTAATTAACGTAACTATTGTAAAATGAAAACATACAACCTGTGTTGTCTGTAGTATGCTGTCATTTTTCCTCAGTATAATTTTTTATATTCATTTGAGATTTTGCCTTATTTACAATTTCATAGAAGTATTCAAATTATCATTATTCCTATAAAATTTTTAAATAAGTGATTTAAACAACATTTCATTAATATTAATACATATAATGTTAACAAATAAGTAAATTTTAAGCTAAAGCTTCAAAATTTATTTTTAGGCATACTTGAATTTAATAGTTACTAAAGTATAAATAAGTTTTAAACTTATGTTTCTTCATTTCATTTTAACATTAATTAGATAGGAAAAACAACAATTAATTATTGAAAACAAGTTTCATACCTGAATTTTTATTCATATTTTTATGTCTTAGCTTCTTTGCCAAATTTCCTAATTAAATTTTAGCCAAATTAAGTCATTTTCATTTATTTACATTTAATAACTTTCCTTGAAATTCCTGTCTTGTCCTAATTTATTTGAACAGATCAGATGAGGCTCAATTGAGCCCTTCACTCATGTTTGTCTTTTCCCTCAGAGCTCTCAATCAAGTGCTCTTATAAGTCACACGATTCTTTTTTCCTTCCTATATAGCTCGGATAGGGCACAAGGCAAGAAATCCCATCGAATGTCTATAACACGGAAAATTGCGTTGATGGGCGAAAATCGCTCAATTCCCCTTGTCCTTCCTCCGCTTGCTGCTCGCGGCAATTAATCGAGCCACTCGAATCTCTCTCGCGCGAGGAAAATTCACTGTTTTCTCTCTTTTCTCCCTTCGTACGCGACTTGTTTGATCGATTTGAGCTGCCCTTGCGTTTCCTTCTTCTTATCCTTCTTCTTTGGGTTCCCCTTCCTTTCTTTATTCGTCTTTCCATGACTTCTTTTTCTTCTTCTTTTTTTAGACTCGCCGACTTCGACTCTGTGCCCCGACTTCGTATACTCCCCCAATACCACTGTCTCAATCTGTATCTCTCTGTACTGCGAATGAAAGGAACGGGAGAATAATCTCTCGTATAATCCTTCCCATGAGCGGTGGAGTTTGAGTTAGCTACGCCTGTCTTTCAGGTGTCCTAAACAGATTTTTTCATTTATTCTATTAAGTTAATAAATTTTTATAACAGTTAAGAATTTTTTATTACCTTTCTCACTTAGTGGGATAAAGGCTTGTTGTTGTTGTTGTTGTAGTTAAGAGTTTATTAGAACAACACTCCTATGAATTCTAATAAGAATTTATTTATGAGTTTTATAATGAATTTGGGGTTTACTTGTTTGAATGTAAAGTATAAATAAAAATTTCATCTCTAATTTCAAAAATTCATGTTTTTGAGAATAATCGAAGCACTAAATATCAATGTCAAAGTAAATTAAAACCGCTTTTCTCGGCCCATATGATCCAACCTGTCGACCAAATCTGTAGTCATCTCTTTTTGTGCAAAACATCCTATTTTCTCTTCTGTGCTCGTCGTAGTCTTACATATGACATTTGCCTTACGTCACATGTATGATCATCTTTGTTTTCTCTCGTCTTCTTTTTCTCTGTTGCAGTCGCTGGTTTATTAGTGAAATCAAATCCTCTGCTTACTTCGCCTCTTCTTTCACGTCACACGTTTTATTATCTTTGCTTTCTTTCTTGTGCTGTCTTTCTCTGTTTCACTCGCTCGTGTATTAGTAAAATCAAATCCTCTACTTAGCCTCTTCTATTAGCGGAATTGCCTCTTCAGTTCTTTTGAACTGATGTAGCCGGTTTAGTATTTTTTTTAGTCTGAGTTTGTACATTTTTCTTATCTTATAAAAATTTTGTTCTCAAATTTAAAAGAATGTAATGATAACAAATACATTGTAATTGAAGAGATATGAATAAAGCTCTCATTTTTTTAATTTCTTTTGTCATGTAACATCTCCTATGTTTTCATAAGATTCTTACAATTGCAATATCATGTTGAGAGGTCTTTCTTCATCAAATTTAGTATATTTTTAGGCTCTTCTTTATATGTTGTGTCAGGTTTTATCAATTGAATCTATGACAATCCAACTTGATTCATCAGTTATGTATATTTTATAGGTGTAGGTATATGAAATATATCATCATGGATTTGAGTTATTGCCAATCTCTAAGCTATATTTTCAAATTGTTTTAACAGTTTTATACAGTCATATATGTTGTTGATTTAGCTTTTCTTTTCTTCCAAAACACTGTTTCTTATTCATCGGATTGAGTTTGATAAATACAATCTAATAAATATCAAAATCCACCGATCTATTCATCATAATATTTTTTATTGTTAAATTTAAGCAACATTCTGTTTATCTCAAAATATTCCAATTTTATCAATATTGTCATCTATTAAATAGTATCCATGACTTTTCTTTCTGTACTTCATTACAATGTAATGGTGTTTTACAATTTCTTCTTTAAAGAGTTTCATATGGAGACATTATGATACTTGTCTGCAAGCTGCCGGATGCAAATTCTATTAGTGATATACTTAACTCTCAACTTCCACTAAAGATAAACGTACAAAAAGAATAAATCTTCTAATGTTTGGATTATTCTTTTAATTAACCATCAGTTTGTGGGTGAAATATAGTACTGAAAGTCAGTCTAGTACTTAAATCTCTTGAATTTTCTACAATAAACTTAATGTAAACTTATTATTTATATAGCATTATAGATTTTGGTATCAGCTGCAATTAAAAAACTTCATCAGCATATAATTTTACTAATTTTTTCACCTGATTTATCTATGAAATGGAAAAAAAATGCATATTTTTTTAGTCTACTGTAATAAGCTATATAGTTTAATGACTGTCTCGATATGGGTAAATTAATCACAAATCTGTTTTATTTCATTTTTTTTCACTCTAGTATTGAAGAATATTAAGATTGTCCACCTGACATTGGATGCTCAATTTTAAATAATTGACATGTGGAACGCTTAAACCCAAATTTTACCTCACCACTTTTCATTTAGGGCCATCAAAATATTCTTCAGTTTATGATAAATTTTTTCCTGTTGGATGAATAGTGTAATTCGATGTATGTGCTTCTTAAAGGTTTTTTTTCTTAAATTGTAACATTTAGTACACAAATTCTACTTTTGTATCTCAGTAATTCATCTTCATCAATTTATGGTTTCGATGTTTATGCATTAAATTAAAAATTTTCGAAAAACCAACATCCTGATTTAATGAATCTTATTTTCATTGTTTTAATGTGAATTGGATCGTGAGTTGAATTAACAGAATGAAATATTGATCGTTCTAATTTTATAGTGACAATTCCAACTGATCAAAATTTTTAATTAAATGTTCTTGTTGAGTGACCAATTTATACTGCCTAAAGCTTTTATATTTAATGCATTTGCAAAACTCTTTTTTGGATGATATAGTACATTAAGATCATAATTTTAGTAAGTTCTAGCCATCGTTTTTATCTCAAATGTAAATATTTTCGTAGTGAAGATATATTTTATAGTAATTTAAAGTTGAATGTAAATAGTTAGGTGGACAGTCGTAGCCTTTTCTAAAGCCAATGTGTAAAATAGATAAAGTAATAATAAATTTTGCGGTTGGTTTACCTAGATGGAGACACAGACAGGACATTATATTGGTCATTATTGATAGAGTAGCCAAATATTGGTCATTATACTGACATTATATGCATATTTATTCTCTATTAGCAGGCTTTTGCATCTCTTGTAATATGAGATTTCTGTCTTCTATTTTGATTCCCTTTTTATTTCTCGACTTTTGTGGATATATATCTATGGCTCTTGAGGAAGTGTGTGAATTTAAATAGGGGTTTTTAAAGCTTGTGAAATATAATTTTATTGATTTTCTTCTTCAATATTGTTTTGGGCTTTAAAAAAATTTAGTGTTTTTTTGTCTTTGCTTCTGTATTGGTTGGATGTGATTCTTTTTTGTTCTAATGCAATTTGGTAGTGGAGTTTTTCTAGGAAAAGTCGTATCCTCACATCAATGTGAGGCCTGAATTTTTTCTTGGTAATTCTTTGATCTGACTGTTTTATTTGCTTTATTTTTTATGCTTCAAGTTACTTGGATAATTGATTTACTTTTTTATTACCGTTTTTTTTTAATTCAGGAACAAGTTTACAATTGAAGTTTTGAACATGTAATCCTTTTATGATCATAAATTTTTTGTCACTATTATATTACCTTTTGCTGAAATTTTCTATATTTTTTGTTTTTATCAAAAGTGGCAAATAGTGGTTTAAATTAGATGCTTGTGATGCGTATATGAACTTTTTTGCTTGATTTATGCATCCCTTCATATATGTACACCCTTGACCCTATGATGTTCAGGATTAGTAGGACCTCTATATCATTAAGATATTAAAAGCTTAACTTTATAAAAAACATTGTATTCTTCCGCCCTAAGTTTAAAAAAAATGCCAGATTTGGTTATGAGGTCAACTGAATAATCCTCTTCACGTGTTCAATTGCTTCTAGTTCCTGTATCTAGTAGTCTCAAATTTCGGAAGCTTGGAAATTTCCACCCTTCACGGTTGCTTCAAGTTCCAGCCGGCAAGGCTGTGCCACCACCGCCGATAATTGGTGACAACTATGAATTCAATTCACCTTGTAATGATGTTTCAGAAATTTCCTCATCTTCTCCGCAATCCAGAAAAAGAAGAAGGGATTTTAGTTGGAAACGAAGAAGGAAACACAAGAAGGTATCTATGTTTGCTTGGTTTTACTATCAAGTAATGAGATTGATATTTAGCTCTTGATAATATTCAAGCGCTTTATTGACATTAGCTTGTTGAGGCAGCCAAATACATGACTGGCAGTGACGTGTGTGGTGAATATCATGCTTCTTTTTGTTGTTCTGTTTGTATTTCCAAGTCAAATTTTTTGGAAAATAAATATTCTATAGTTGAAGGGACATCACAATACCGGGCTGAGAAGGTTATTTGAAAATAGTTTTTATAAATCTGTTGTAACTCACGATTTCAGATTGGTGATGATTGACCTGTGTACTTTTGAAATGTGCTGTTAATTTTTTTTTCTTATTAGTAATTTATTTGCTGAACGGATTTGTTTTTTTTTAATTTTATTGTTTTTTGTGTTTTTTTTTTGTTTAGGTAAGAAAGTCATTTCTTTTATTGCTATTCTTTGTTTAAAGATTAATTGTCTATTTCCACTTTGATGCTTTTTATTGCTATTCTTCGTTTAAAGATTAATTGTCTATTTCCACTTTGATGCTTCTCTTTCTCAATCTTTTTTCTCAATTGTGATCTTAATCAATCATAGCTTTTGTATCTGATGACAGTGACTGAAGCTATTCATCCCTTATTTTTCTAGCATATATTGAGTTAGGAAGCTGAACTGAGCTTTTCTTATTTCTTGCATGTGACTGCGCACATCTTTATGTTATAATAATTTTTTGTTTGCATTTTGTGTTGATATATTCTCTAGTGTTGTCATTAATTAAAGATCTTGAACATAGTTATCTTTTGTAATTTAATGCGTTTGAGTTTTGTATTGCTTTGTTTGCTATTGCTCTTCAACATTATCACACCCCGTTTTCACAACTCTCACTTAAGCGTGAAATGTTGTAGTGACAGGTAGCAGTGCTAATAATATTTTTCCCAAAATTCAGCTTTTTTTCTGTTAAACATGACTCAGTGGTAGAAAACTAATTTTCTTTTATCTTCATGAAACAACAAAAATCTTTGTATGATCGTTAAATTGATCCATCACAACCTATATCACAGAATCATACATAATTAAATACATCTTGAAGAAACTTAAAGCTTCAGATTAACATCATATGTTTAATTAAGTTACATCAATTCTCTTTAGTATACATTTTTACAGAAGCATACATGATTAAATGCTTTATTATATTTATGCTAAAGGACAATTTATGCGGGGTTATGCCATGGGATAGGTTGGCATTTTATAATGACTTGCATATAACCAGGGATTCTCTACTTTTGAGAATTTTGTGTTGTAATAAACCAAGCATTATTAAGGTAATGTTCAATAACTGTTAAGAGTTACTGTTATTTTGTGTTAGTTATAATATATGTTGACAGATTAGGTGGCATCCTTGTGTTGTATGAGTGATAGTGGTTTGGACCATTATGACAGAAAAATCAAATTAAAAGCAGTATTTTGATATTACTAGCCAACTAGCATATGCATTGAATTGTTGGGCAATTGTGTTTTGATTGTCTTTGTTCAATTATAAGATCATGACTTAATAAGGTGTTTATTGCACGATGCTACTTGTCTCTATGGTTGGTTAAATGATTAGTATGATATTATTTTTTTTTGTTTTGTTTTGTGAACTTTTGATAATTGTATGATATTAGTTTTCTACTGTCCCAGATTTTACTCTGGAGGTTGTTTTAGGTAAAGGGAAAGATGAACCTTAGTGCGGTGACTTGGTTTGTCTTTCATCTTGGGGCTTTTAATGTATATGATATTGTTCTAGGGCCTCTATGAAGTGTTTAGGAAGCGGATCTAGCAAGATGGTTAGTATTGGAGTTAACCAAAATTAATGAGAAAGCAAATATTATTTCTGAAAAGCAAGTAGAAGTTTACAACCAATGCAGTGTAATGAGAAATAACAATAGATAGGGCACAACTCAAGTTGGGCCGTATTCCAATGGGGCCGGTGGACAGTTAGGTGGATTGGACAACTTGAAGATGGTAAGGGGTTGTAGCTAACTGCGGGACAGGTTGTAAGAGGGAAGGTAAGGGTTGCAGTTGGTTGCATGAGAGAAGGTCGGGTTGTGGTTGGGTGCTGGAAGGATGGTAAGAACTAGTTGGAGGTGGATGGCATGGTGGAAGGGCAGTTGCTACAGGAAACATCAAGGAAGGTGGAATGGGGCGGAGGAAAGGTGTAGTGGCCGACTGCAGGAATATCACAAAAATTTACGTTCTACAAGGTGGCTGCAGTTGGAACGATATCAACAAGAATGAAGGGAAGAATGCGGGGAAGGGGAAATTGTGGATAGTCTTCACCTCGGAACAAGATACTGCCGGAACATTTCTCGCCCTTAGATACAACCCTAGAAGGGAGAACTGAAGATGTCGATGACTGTCTCGATAGAAAACATAATGAATAACTAAACTTAAAATACCAGAAAAGTAAATATATAGTAATAGGATAATTAGGAGTGACCCAAGAGGACGGCTGACTCCGCCACAACGAAAATACCTGGATCGGTTTAATCCAGTCACAAAAGAGGGATCCCACTTTTCATCGAAGTAAATCCCATGTAGGATACCCCTGTGTCAGTCTTCTGGGGTTTGGGGAGTTTCAACCTCATTTTTCGAAGCTTCTTTCTGCACCTCATTCGACCTTGTACTTCGTCTGAACTTCAATTAAGCTCGAGTTAGAATATGTAGACCGGTCATTTTTTTTCCTTTTTTGTGGCGAGCATAATTACTTGAATTCTATTAAATGTCATCATAACATTGATCAAACTCGTGCTATAATATTACCGATTTATTGTAATACGTAGTAATATCATGATCATTTTGTTTATTTTTTCATAGCTGACTTTTCAACTAAAAAAATTGCGAAGAATTCTCCAAATTTAAATAGAGATTTGGACTGACCTCCCAGATATCTTGAAAAGTGAGAAGGAATTGATGAGGCTTTTCTTTGGTATGTTCCATGGGTTTAATGAGTCATGCCATAACCAAAAAATTTTTGGCCTGTTATTTTCTTTTATTTAGATCGTTAGCAAAAGGTTTTAAAATTTCTTAGGTTAAATTCTCATTTTTGTCTCTCTCGTCGATGGCTAATTTTATGGATTGAACCCACTCGAGGTAATCGTGTCCTTTAAGTTTTATAACTATAAGGTATGGTGGTAAATTTCTAGGAAAATATTTGATTGATACAATCATGAGAAAAGCAATTAGGTGCGGTGAGGCGGTTTTAGAATTATTGGAATCAATCGATGCGACAAAATTTTCTTGAACACCATCATCATTCTTCAGAATCTAAGAAGAGCACCACACGTACAGTGGCTACCTGAAGGGCAAAAAGAAACATGGCCTGGTTTGGATAAGGTCTCGACCTACACAATTTCGAATCTACTTTAGGTGTCAGTGGATGGACAAGGAACAACGATCAAATTGGAGCCTCAAATCAGGTGACATTGGTCTTTGAACGCCGTAATCCAATCATTACCTTTCTGACTAGCTCCAATCGCAAATCTTTGAATGTCACGATCCAGTCTTTGCCTTCCCAGCTAGCTTTAGTCGTGACTGTATCACGAGGGATCGTTTGGGAAGACGTTGGTATTGGGCGAAGCCGGAAGGAGCGAAGCGAAGGTTTCTGGCAAGGTTGGAACCCGTGGATAACCATATCAACGAGATTCAATAACAGTTTTGAAGGTGAAATTCGGTTGTGATGCCATGTATTTTTTTGGATGGGAAATATAATTACTTTTCTTCAATTCCATTTGAAACGATTACAAGTTAAAGGAAGGGGGGGGGGGGGGTTGACTACAAAATTATGAAATTCATAAAATCAACCATAACTCCCCATAATAAAAGAGGGAAGCATGAGCATTACCAATAATTCTAAATTCTAAAAGTTGAAGTTATTAAAATAGAAGAAACTAAAATTAAAATCTTCCTACAATTCCAAAAACTATTGAAAATTAATTCCAAATGATCCCTCAAAAAGCAAATTGGGATTAATTTTGCATAGTCGAGGGACTATGTTGAGATTTTTTTTTATTGGGGTAAATTTTATCAATTTTTGTATGAGAGATCATATGGGATTATATTTGTATAATTGATGGAAAAAATTGGATAAATGTGAATTCTTGGTTTAGGTTGGCCATATATGAAATATGATGAGTAAGGGGAATATTTTTCGAGCCATTTCTCGAAACAAAAATATGGAGGACAAGAATCAGATTACACAGATTGTTTTTGTATTCTTTAACGTGCAATATTTTTTTAATTGCATTTCAAATGTTGCATATTTTGATATTCGTCTTTTTTTATTGTTTTTACATCTGAAGGCTTTTCTTAGAACAATTGGTTTTTGTAGTTAAATTTATCCTTTTCTTGGTTTACGCATTATAATTCATGTAGTTTCCTATTATATCATTCTTCCGTAATTTATTTGCAGATAAGTTCACCTTGCTTAGATTGTATTGTGTGGCATTCTTCAAGTAAACTTGAATTGGGAACATATATAGAGAGGAAATTGATGTTCTATGATAGACGCTCGTCACATTCCTTGTTTCCAAGGCAACGTATCCTTATTGCTGTAAATAACAAATATTTTAGTATCATTTTATGTTTAGTAATATATATATATATATATATATATATATATTAATATATATATATTTGTGTGTAAGTTTTGTTACTTTGGGGAACGTTTGTTGCCTAGTCTGATCTTGTATAAGTTCATTATAATGTTGGTCATTGTAGCTCTGTTTCTTTCCTAGAGCTTTTTTTTTTTGGGGAATTTTGAGTGCCAAGGTACATATTAGTTAGTTGATTTTACACGCATTGGTTTTCTTTCTGTCCTTGGCCTCATACTATCCGTTCAGAAAATTAAGAAAAAAAAGCACCAAAAATTTTACTCAGGAAATTTGGACTGCGTACGAACTCTTGATTTCTTTTGAAGGCTTCACGGTATGTTGACATTCTGCTTTGTTTGCATGTTATTCTTAGAGAAAGTTACTGGAATACATTGTTAGAATTTTATATGCAATATGAATGCTAATTACTGATGCAAGTAGAAAAACATTGATAGCAACATAATCTATATATAAGGAACTAAGGCAGAAAAAGAGAGAATATTCTTTCATCATATATATGTATTAAGAATCAATCCTATCAAATCATCTTTATCATGATACACACACAGTCACAAGCCCAATATTAATCATTTGTAGCGAAATAGTAGAAACATTTTCATCATTTAAGAGTTCCTAAACTGCAACTCTGTTATACATCGTGGTTCTATAATTTTAATCACATACGTTATTCAATGCCATCATTTCACAGGACAATGAAAACTGTTAAAACGTTTTCGTACATTTGTCTCTCATTCTGCATTCTTTTTTACTTGAAAAATGGTTCAAAACAGTACTTATGATTTTGAAGTTAGTAGTTAGCATTACCTGGTAAAGTCAAATTAGTTTTCTACACACCCTATTTAATTTTTATTTTTATTTTCATATAAATCAGCAATCTCACAACTTCTTTTCATTGATGCACAGATGAAAATTTTAGGTACTATTATACAGAGTTTAATTCATACCTTTTACTGTGAAATAAAGAATCTGTCAGACCTTATTGGATTATTTTATTTAAATCTAATTTTATCTTCTATTCTCCCTTCTCCCCACTATTCCAACGAAAAAATTCTGGAATGAAGTATTCGTCTTATATTCTCCCATTTTTATTCTGTTTATCTTTTTCTTATTTATTGTTAACTCATGCTTAAATTTTATGCCATGACATCTGTAGGAAATTATCAACCTGTGTTCTAGATTAGGAAGGAATTTATTTCTTTAGGATATTTTTCAACATTTACTTTTTCCTTTTATTATATATTTAATTTTTGTGGGATTCCTAATTTAAAGGGATTTTTTTTTCTATTTTGTGGGTTGGTATGCTGGCCATTTTATTTTATTTATCTAATAGGTTGTAATTCATTATTACAGGGAATTAAAATCCTTTCCAGATTTCCTTATGATATCAGTGCTGTTGTCTTTTTATTCTGTGGCGAGTCTTGCAACCTCTCTCTGATTCACTAAAACAGTGAACGATTTGGCCTCTGTGAACGTTTTGCGCCTTGGTCTTGGTAAGCTTTGTCTTCTCAACCGGCCTCTTCAAAGCTCAATCTTGCAAGTGCATCCCCATCTCTTTTAACGCACATATATAATTCTCCCAGTTCTAGAAGAACGTCTTTGGCATAAAGTGGCCTTTCATGCACGGAGAATCCCACCGTTTCACTGCTGTTACGCTGCCATCTCGCAAGGGATTTCCTGCTGCAGTTCTTCGACCCAATTCACCTCATCATTGGCGTCTGGATTCCCTGGAGCTCCGTTGAGTACAATATCACTTGCATGGAGTGTTTGCTAGGCGCTGAAGACGATGATTCCACTGTTGTACTCCACGACCTAGAGGCGTTTGTTACCCTAGATCTCATTTGTTTTGATCGTCCAAGACTCTTCTTTGGGATCTCTGTCTTCCTCGCTAACAAAGTGAAGCCCGGTTGTAGTGTCAATAAAGTGAAGCTCTTGGCTCACAAAAGTATTAGCCCTCCTTATCGTTCACTCGCCTAATTGGACTGTATTGACTCATCCACCTTATCTAATTTGCACAACAAGAATCAGACGAGCACTTTGTTGGGCTTTACACTCTTATCATGACCAAATATGGAATGACCTCACAATCTTTTTCCTTGGAAGTTTCCTCTAATTCTAACTCTACCATCTTCAGTGTCTATCATACCAGATAACTCTTCTCATCTCTTTACGAATGATAAACAACATGACAACTTTCTTCAATGGTCACAATTTGTCTTAATGTACTTCTGTAATGGGGGGATGTTGGTCATCTTGCAGACGAAATCACATCTCCATAAATGATATATTCTGAAAACCGGGCTTGGAAATCTGTTGTCCACATGGTTATGTCATGGTTAATAAATTTTCATGACCACAGAGATTGGAGAAAACTTTCAACTCTATTGGATAGCTAGAGAGATATGAGACGCTGCATATGAAACCTACTCTAGCACTAAAAACTTAGCTATTTGATTTTGATACCAAGCTACATAATTTATGACAGGGAGAATTAAGTGTTACTCAATATTTCAATAATCTCAAATGTTGGCTACAATTTGATATATATGAAGTTTTCGTTATGATTCTGCCTTATTTAGTAGGATTATTGAACAAAAAAATGACATCAAATTTCTCGTTGGTCTCAGTGAAGATCTAAATGAAGTCAGGTGGGACTTATGAGAATTGAACTCATCCTTGTCATTCGAGACGCTTTTGTAGAATTTTGAAAGGAGTGCAAAAAGAAGATGATGATAGACCAACACAACATAAATTAAAGGATTGACTTTATGCACTCACAATTCATCTTTGAATAAGATGATGAAGAAAGGATGATTATTGTGCGATCATTGTAAGAAAAATTGTTATTTGAAGGAAAAATATTGGAAATTACACAACTAATTTGTATGTTAGAGGCCATCTAATGGAAGATATGATAGGGAGAATCATGCAAATGTTGTTACTGTCACACCTTAAATTGGGCCCCTTAATGGTCAACTGTGGTGCGATAGAGATAGAATTTTCGGTCAGATTCACAGCACTTGTTCTGACTTGTAGAATTAGGACTTAGTGGGTCATGAACCAGATCAACTAAATTGTTGTAAATGTATATGATACATTTCATTTTATAATCCATTCAAATTCACATATACTAGACAACGTGAAAAATTATATCACAAAAAAAAAAAAGACACACACACACACACACACACAAACTATTAAATATGTACCCAAAAGGTTGTACAAGCTCTCAAAACTATGAAATACAAAAGCTGTACATGTTACATTTGGCTATTCACACTAATGTTCCTTACCCCTTTCTTAAAATCAACAGTGTAGAGCGCATTACAATAAGGTTAGCGAAATAATCTAGACTAAAATAATGTTTTATTGACGAAAAGAATTGTGCTTGCTCATATGTGGCTCTTGTATATGACCACAACTCATGTGACAACATGCTATAATCGTATAAAATATGTAAAATAAAATATATATAATGTAGAAAATCATGCCTGCAGTTTTAAACATGCATTTCATCCATTCATGTTTAATTATAAATATATTCATAGGAGTCATCAATCTAATAATAGGAGTTTTATTTATAATTGTATTGGGCTCAACTATCTTCATGTCATGTCATGTCATTACATCGTCATTCAACCCAAATGCTTCATCAACTATTGATAAAGCTTGGTTTCTTTCTCAACATAACAATTATCACTAACCCCCCATCATCTCAACACTTCGTTACATTGTGCCCCCATCTGATCTTAACAGTTCCCAATATTTCTTCTCCATCTGAATACTAGAATTCTGGAATCCCATCATTTCTTATCATCCATACTTGCAAGTATTCATGTAATAGCCTACTTATAACATCATTTGTGATATTTTTTAAACCATAATTTATGTAACAAACATTTGTCATTGATATTTTTTATATCATATGTATAAATCATAGTAAATGAATACCTGCAAGCAATTATTTCAAAAACATGATCATTAGATTCATATAATAGTAAAATCATTGGTTATATAAGTGATAAATTAAATTTGCATTTACACAATACAGGTATTCGTCCACAATATGCAGAAGTTCTATATGTAATAGTTTCAAACATAAGCACATGGAAATCTACAAAGTTATTTTTTCTTAGATTTTAACACATGATTATTTTACGAGAATTGACTGCGCAACCCTATGATGAATTTCCTCATGCTTGCCTTAAGCTCGCTGTCTAAAATGAACAATCTGACATTCTTAAGTCTCTTAGGATATTCATAAATTCTTATCTCAGATTTTGATTTAACCCACACATAAAGATACATGTCAATATTGGGTTGCCTTGCTTGGCTTCTCCTTGTAAATTGCTTGATATCTTCTCTTCTTCCCCTTAAGCTTCCCTTCTCTTTGCTCTGCTAATTTCATACTCATTGCCCATATGGAAGCACTCAAGCCAAGTTCATAGTCTCTAACACTAGTTCACCTCTTGCTACAATGACCAGAAATAAAAAAATGCACTGATTCGCTACAAACATCAAAATGGAAACATAAGTAAATGAATGTATCAAATATCATGGAAGAGGTATTCCTACCTTGTGATCTCTTCTTGGAACCTTGAATTGTTGTTCCTTGCGGGTTACGCGATTGCTGTCATTTGCGCCTATTATAGTGTTTGAGTCATTGTAGCGTACATACGGAAGAATTGAGAGGGGAATGGATAAATTGGAAGTCTCTAGAGTAATTTATTTATCTTAAGATGAGTCTTGACCCTTTGATTTCATCCCATAGTTGTGGTTGCTAAAATGATTCCGTGCCTACAGTGATGATGTGGGATTGGGGAGGATAATTTAGATTAATTAAGGGTAATTAAACTTAAAACCTCATAATTTTATATTTTCTAATACACTTGAAATTCATGTGTAGTGCTATATATGAAATTTGTCGATCTGATGTGTAGAATTTTATAAATTTATTCGGTCGAGTAATGAGGGATACAAAATTTGGGGTATGCTTTACGAGGGCTAAAATTCTTTTCTTGATTTTTTGAGATTTGGTTGTTACAGTTATTCCCTTATAAAAATTTGTTTCTCAAAATTTTGGAATTTACTCAAATAAAAATGGATACGTTTGTTTTATTTCTCGAAAATTTGGAATTTCTCTTCTTTAACTTATTAACATTTATTTCTAAAATGTTTTCAGGCTCTTCAATTCAAGTTAAATTATTTTATTCTTCTATGTCTTCATGTGAAGTCTTCTGGTCTGGATTTTAAATTCATTTTTCTTCATTGAAATGTGAAACACATCATGAATAGTTGACATATCGGTATGTAGGGTTAGCATGTAAGCAATTGGACCAATCATTTCTATTATTTCAAAAGGATCAATGTACTTGGGACTCGACTTTCTTCCCATACCAAATCTGATTGTATTTTTCATTAACCTGACTTAAAAATACAAAATTAGCAGTTTTAAATTTTACCGCTTTGTGCTTTGGTTCGTAATTTTTCTTCGGTTGATTCTAGCAGTTTTCAATCTATCTCTAGTTAACCTTGTTTTTTTTGTGGCTTTATACTTAGGATCTAACATTTGACATTCAACCACTTGAACCCAACTTAATAGAGTCTTGTTTTTTTTCCCATAAAGTGTTTTATGAGGATGCATTTTGATGATGGATTGATAACTGATATTGTAGATGAACTCGATTATCGTGATGTGTTCTTCCTAACTTTCTTTAAAATCAAAGACGTCAACAAATATTCTGATACCTGTATTTTCCTTTCTAATTGTCTATCGGGTTGTGGATAAAATGTTGTAATAATATGCAAATGCGTACCAAGTCTTGTTGAATGTTTTTTCAAAATCTAGATGTGAATCTTTCATCTCCGTCATAATTGATAACTTTTGGAATTCTGTGAAATCTCATAATTTCTTTTACATATAATTTGGCTAACTTTTCTACTGAAATTATCTAATTGATTGACCAAAAATGAGTTGCCTTTGTTTGTCCATTAATGACTCAAATACTGTTGTGAGTTTGCTTGGATTGATAAAATCTCATAACAAAATCCATATCAATTTTTTTTTTCATTTAGGTATATGCAATGATTGTAGCAATCCATTAGGTCTTTGATGCCCATCCTTTATAATCTGACGAGTCTGACATGTTGACAGATCAAACATCATTCTTCTAACCTGATCATCAACATATCAACTAGAAATCTTTGTACATTTTAGTTTTGCTAGATGAATTGTGTACCTTGAATGATGAGCCTCATGTAGGATTTTAAATCTCCAATCATAATAACTATATACCCAGTTTTCTTAGTTCTTTTTAGAGTCTCGAAGTCGCCAACTTATCTATTTATATGTTGTATAATTTTTTTATTCGAATAAATTTTCTTCCTGAATTATATAAATGATTCGAAGAGGAGAGAATTTAAATAAAAATAATACACGACAACATATAAACAAAAGTGGAAGACTTATATATGGGAGTCACTACAGGATATGATCGAAGTACCTCGAAACACAATCATGAGGAGTCACTACATAAGCCACTCATAATCAGAGAACCAAAAAAACTTATTTGTTTTGGGGTCAAGGGTCTCCCAGAGGAACATATTCCTCTGGTTAATTACATCTTGGGGATTACCCCAGATCAATTTCGATAGAATGAGCTTTGCTTATATTATCATGTACCTAGAAAATAAGCCATCAAAGGATTATTTCGTATGAGAATGCCTCGATGTTCTTTGAGGCTCTCATTAAGCCGCAGGGCAGAGAGGGAGTCTCTTACATCTCAAATGTTTTGTATCTCATCGACATACAAAGCCTACGACATAACCATGGAGGTTTTTTGCCACTGTTGTATTGGACAAACAAGAAAGAAACACTGCTGAAATAAAGAAGAGAGAAAACAACTCTGAAAATATATAGTACTTTGTCCTGACAGCATTTTACCAACCTGCTTGGCCCTATGTGCTTCATGGATTGGGCTTAGAGGTAGGTTTGCTCTGATCTGCTGCTGCTTTCTTCTCTCCTTCAGTACTTTTCTTCTTGTCTTTCTTCTCCCTTTTCTTTAAAGCATTCATGTGTGCTTTCAGAACAGTTGCATATGACGCTTGGAAACGAAGGTAATCCTTTGCAGCGTGCGAACTAGAGATGGTTTTCTTTGCATCATTAGCACGAACAAGACACCTATATTCAATGACTTTACCAGCAGGCTCCAACTTCTTCCTCTTGGCCTTGGATTTCATGGATGATCTTTTATAAGAACCCAAACAGAGCCCTTCTCTTTGGTTCTCTCATACATGTTGGTCAGCTCATTAAGAAAAGGGTCTGGTTGTAAAAGTGGTTGTTAAAGGACCATTTCCTCTACTAGGCTGCGGACCTCGTGCTCAGGGACTGTTTGATAGGGTAACAGGATTTGAGCAGAATTTATGGTGGATTCAACCGAAGTCTTTTTGGCGGGAACAGAGCGGAAAGAGGAGAGAGATGAATTTCGGGTCTCTCTACACAGCGATCCCGTCGTTTTCTTCCCAGTTATCTTTGATCGCAACTGTATCGTGAGGGTTCGGTCGCGAAGGAGATAGTTTTGGGCGAAACTATGAAGCCAGGAGAAGGGGTGTGAAGTGGGCGAGGGAGTGGAGAAATATTTGCGTAAGACAAAGGAGGGCTATATATATATATATATATATATATCTTTGTACGAATATTTTTATTGCTGCTAGTTATTGATAAAATGTTGGTAACAGTGCTTTTTAAATTTTAATCATTATTTCTGATAGTAATGATGACTAAAAGTCTATGAATGCCCATGCCATGTTTTATAAGTTGGTGAGTTATGACAAATCTAGTCAGAAAGCGATGAAATTGTTTATTAATTTTACCTTTATTAGGGATTTCCTCGAGTTTTGATAAACATGCTGTAGTAATCCTAGAATTAGTGAGAGGCTATTTGATAATTGTTATGTTAGTGCAAGTCTAAACTCTGTTTGTAAATTTGATATGTGTTGACTGGCTAGGAAAGAAACCTTACAGTATGGGTGTGGGTCTGGTATTCTCCATTTCCTTGTTGTATGTTCTAAAATCAAGAAAGCCATTATATGATAGATTTCTAAGATGATGACTAATTTTTTCATTGTACAAACTCAATGTTTTTTTTTTGTTTCGTTGTGCATAATGTAAAAGTACCTTTCTTTTTCTTCTAAAAGTTTCCTTTCTTTTTCTTCTTTTCCATGCTATCTTTCTCTTGCTCCCTCTGTGTTTCGTACATTTGGCTCTTAAAGATGGAACCATCTTGACAATTACGATCGAACCTTCACTGCCAAATCAATATTTTTTTAGTCACAGTAATGACATTATGTATTTGCATCCTTACAAAAAATTCAGATATACTAAACAGGTTGGAGCCAACAAAGTCTGGTGCAATTTCTCTTCTAAACCATATTTTTGGGGTTTCTACAAATGGTGTCGAGTCGCAAGCACTCTGTTCATGTCTGAAGTCAAGCAACTCTACAGTGGCCTGTTCTTGTTGCAAAGCATCGAAGTTCAAGTGTTTGTAAGTAGATTTCTCCTGTTGCTTATGTTTATTTTCTGCCACATAATATTCTTTTTAAGTTGAATGTACAAATTTGTACTGGGCATTTAAAACCATTTCAAACATTCTACAACATCAACGATCATTATATCTTAAACTTTTTTGCCGTCCTTTTCATGATATAAGGCTGTTTGACGCCCTAAAATTGTCCTTCTTTTCATGATATAAGGCTGTTTGACGCCCTAAAATAGCTAGTTGTGATAAAAATGTGATTACAATTTTTGCTTTTGGAACTCGATTTTTGTAACAACTTGCTTTGACAACTTATAATTAATCAAGTCAGGAACTGCGGTCGGATAATATTCACATTTAAATAAATGTTCATTGAGTTAGAAAATTTCAATATAAAAAAGAGCTACTAATAATCCACAGAGCACACAATATAGAAAAATCAAAACATCGAGAAATAATAATTTAATTTATAAATAACTTATGAGGCCGATAAATGACTATAAATTATTACTCTGAAGAAAATAACATAAAAAAAAGCTACAACCTCAACACAACATAACATGATGTCTATCAGTTTTAGTTCTATAACTATGTCTCTCATCTACAATCTACAATTTTTCTTTTCTTGAAAGAAAACATTATCAGACATATCAATCTACAATTTTTCTTTTCTTGAAAGAAAACATTAAATTTAACAGTAAGTTTAGGATTTAATCAGTAATTATAATCTCAATATGCATTAATTTTATATGCGAAAGTTATGCATGAGTGACCAAATGATAAAGCACCTCATTACTTTATAAAATCATAAACTTTCACTTTAAATACATTTCTTCCCGTTTTAATTCAAGTATTTACCCTTTTTCACCTTCTTAAGAGTATGTCGGGATTACCGTCAAGTCTGGATATATTCTCAACATTGCACCCATAGGCACCGCACCCTAAAAAATTTGCTCCCAAAGGTGCATTTTTGCCATTTTTTAATCGTGCAAGTCAGTAAGACAAGCATTTGCATGTCATTTTTTTTTAATTACATTCATTTAAACTCATTGAATTTACCATTCCTTTTTTTTTTCTTTTCAGATTATTCATTTTAGAAATTCTTTGAACAACATGTCTCTGATTATTAAAGCATTTTTATGAAATAATAAGGGAATTCTTTATTAAATAACACATTAGTACAAGAAAATGATTGTTCACTTGCTTTCAAATATCTCTGAAATATTTATTCTTCACTTCACTTAGTTGACTATTAACTATATTAGTTATTGTTTCATACAACTATAAGAATCTTTTTCTAAAATAACTTAAATATATCTAATGACATATAATTAAAATGACATATATAAATAAGTTTTCAATTTGTTACTTTAAAAGGTTATGTTTGTTTCCTTGCACAAAGCTCTTCTTTCCCTCTAACAACTTTAATTGATTCAATCTTTAATCTTCTGCCTTTTAATTTTTTGTTAAGTTAAACCCATTATTAGCATTTAGTAAGTAATTTGATAATTTCAATTAAAGTAATTAACATCATAAAACCCTAAATACCTTCATGGTTCTGTTCTTGTCGTTAGCTCACAAAGCTTAAATGTCTTCCTTCTTCGCACCAATATCTTTCCACTAATGATATCTGTTTTAAATTCATAAAACCTTAAATGTTAATTTTATAACATATTTAATCTATTAAATTTATATAATTAAACTTGAAAATTTTCGGATAACTCGCATTAACCAGCTGAGAATGATTTAATCCCTCCCTGTTTTTTGCTTGATGTCGGCATGGCTTTTTCTACTCTCGATTGAGCCACCCACCCTCTACCTTATTTGCCTTCTTCGTCTCCTTCAACTAGGGTTCGACATGCGAGTCTCGACTCTCTTTCCTTTTGTCGCGGTTCAACCCTACGTCGCTGTCTCGTCCTTTCTTGTTCGGCTTCGATTCTTCCTTCATGCATGCAAGGTTCGACTCATACCCGACACGAGCCTTCCTCTACTCCCTTCTGTCTCCTTCAACAAGGGTTCGACTTGTCTGAACACAACGAGCACAACATCCAAGCTGCTGATTCATCGATAGATCAAATAGGGCTCGACGTCGTCTCCTACGCATGCAAGCTGCAAATTCCTTATCTTCTTTCTCTTCTTCTCTTCCATCTTTTGCAGGCTTGTTTGTCGTCTTTAGGTTTCATTTGTTTGAAAGGGGAATACGACCCTAAAATCTAACGAAATCCGTATTCTTGCTATTCAATTTATTATTATTATTGGCTTTAGTACTATATATATATATATATATATATTTATTTATTTATTTATTTATTTATTTAAAAATTATTGATTACAATTTATTCTCATAAGAATTTCATCACGAAATTTGAAATAATCATGAAAGCAAATATATTTCAAATGAAAAGATGCTAATATCTTTCTTGCTTCTCAAAAAATTTTCCCCCCAAGTAGCATTCCTCTTGGATTCATGCTTCGATCACAAATGAGATATCTCTATTACGAAGTTTTTTCACATCATATTCCAAAATCCCTTCAGGTTCCTTAATGTAATTCAGATCAGACTACATGTCAATTGAGTCATCTATCACCCTGCTAGATTCATGTGCAATATACATTCTAAGTGAAGAAATGTGAATAAATTATGCATTCATTGCATATGAGCTGGTAAAGTTAATCTGTAAGTCACCTTTCCAATCCTACATATCTTAACTCCATATCTCGACTCAATTTTTCCTTGCACATCTTTTAAAGGACATAATTCAATCAAAATAAACTCTCAATTTTCAAACTCCACTGGTCTGTGGTTGACATTATAATTTTTTCTGTGCCAATGTTGAGCTGCCCTTTGTCTGATTTTGAACAGTTTAATTTTTTCAATTGCATCATTAACAAAGTCATTTTCACAGAACTCGGTTCGCCGATTTTAGCCAAATATGAAGGGGTCCTGCACTTTCTTTCATACGAAGCTTCTTTTGGAGCCATGTCAATGCTAATTTGGTAACTGTTTTTATAAATAAATTTTACTAAAGGTATATGTGATTCCTATCTTCCACAAAAAGAACACACAATTTTAGTAGATCCTCCAAAGTCTAAATATTCCTATATGACTCTTCAAATGTTTGAGGGTGGAATGATATATTGAGAGTTAATATTGTGTCCGAAACTTCCTGAATCTTCTTCCACAATGTTGAAGTAAATTTGTCATCTCTATCGAGGATAATAGATTGTGACACTCCATTTTGATCCACTTACAACTTAGCTAACTTTTCAATTGGATTTGTCTGTTTAATGGGCAAAAAATGACATTATAATATTTTCTCTAACTATCTTGCACTGCCCTTGATCTGCCTTTGATCAGTTTAGTCTTTTTAATCGCATAATTGGCCAAGTCATCTCCAAAGATCTTGGGTTCACCAGTTTTAGTCAAATATAAAGGTGTCCTGCACTTTCTTCCATATGAAGTCTCATTTGGGTTCACCAAGTCACCTCCAAAGACCTTGGGTTCACTAATTTGGTAATCTGTTATTTTAAACAAATTACTAAAGGTATATGTGATTCTCATCTTCCACAAAATTCAAGAACATATAATTTTAGTAGATCCTCCAATGTCTGATTAGACATATATGTCTGTTCAAATGTTTGAGGAAATTATTTTCTAAAAGTCATCCTGGTGCGCAAAGTTTCTTGAATCTTCTTCCACAATATGGAAGTAAATTTGTCATTTCTATCAGAGATAATAGAATTTGACACTCCATGCAAGCTTACAATTTGATCCACATACAACGTTGCTATCAACATGGAAATCATCTTATAGGCAAGAAATGACAAACTTAGTCAATCTATCAAGCTTACAATTTGATCCACATACAACATTGCTAACTTTTCAATTGGATCTGTCATTCTAATAGGCAAGAAATGACAAACTTAGTCAATCTATCAACAATTACCCAAATAGCGTCATGAGCTTGACTTGATCTAGGCAATCCAATCAAACAATCCATATCAATCTCCTCCCATTTTCATTCTGGAATCAGTAAAGGTTGTAACTGACACTGATGTTCCGTCTTCACTAGTTGACATGACGGTATACATTTTATTAATTTTTTAGTGAATAGTATAGCTGGATAAACACGTCTCACGATTTTCATTCTTGAAATTATCAACCTTTAAACAAACCCTAGCTTTATATTTTCGTAAATCATCTAACTCTAATACATAATTCTCCAATTTGTCTGCCTTGACTTGTTCCTAGATTTTCTAAAAACTATTTTTCTATGGCTAATGAATCCTCGATTATGTTTTTCATAGATTGCACGATCAACATAGAGTTAACTTTATGACTTGAAGCGGTCTCTTCGAGCTTAGTTTGACAAGTTTAAGAAGGCTATGATGGGCATTGGAAATCAACAGATCAATGTCGACCATAGGGTGTGCATTTAACAACATGGAGGTCACAACGGTATGTTTGTTGTGTATGTTGATAAGTTGATTGTCATTGGTGAAGATGAGGTAGGAATTGCTCCGCTAAGGACTTTGGACTCCTCAAATACCTTCTTGGGATTGATGTGTCCCGTGGACCGGACAGGATAATATTGTCTCAGAGGAAGTATGTAATAGATGACCTCATGGAACAAACATGCTGCAATCTCTTCAATTGATCATAAGACCAAACTGAGTTTAGAGGTAGGAGAGCTAGGTGATCTTGGGATGTACCAGAGATTGGTAGGCCTCCTGTTCTTTTTGAGTCACACTTATCCCAACATCTCATTTGTAGTGAGCCACTACATGCATAATCCAAGTAAGGGCCATACAGACCTAATGCATTAGGTTTTGAGGTACCTGAAGAGTGCATCAGGGAAGGGGTTGATCTTTAGGAAGAATGTACATGTAGGCATTGAGGCCTATCGCGACTCTGGCTGGGCGAGATTTGCTGATGACAGATGATCCACATCAGGATACCGAACGTTTGTATGGGGCAACTTGGTGTCATGAAAGAGCAAGAAACAGTC